CAACTTCAGTAAGTAAAAGAAAACGTTTAGATGCACTTGTTACCTTGAGCTCAAGTCTGGTAGTGTTAGCCTGACATCTGTAGGTGGCCAAGAGGAAGTTTCCATTAGGCTGCTGCAAACCGAGATTGAAAGTGAGGCCTCTGGGAGCAGCAGCAGGTTTGAGATTTTACTGTATTTGCACATATGTACTTGTTCTGTGTAGAAAGAGTTTGCACAGCTCACCTCTGAGTCACATTCACTGAAACTGACAACAGCTGAGTTTTTATCCACATCCAGCAGATCTATGGGGACGTCGCTCTGCATAGGAGATTAATCTTTAAATTACATTTTGCTTGTTTACATCTGCAACGTTGGCTCAAGAGTATGCTTATCATATTTTTTAGGGTCTTAAAGTTCAACTGTCACCAGGGATTGTAACAGCACAGACTTATTGCTCAGTGTACCTGGAGCAGCAGATTGTCAATGGCAGTCTGCACCTCCAGGGTGAGGCTGTAGCTGGCGTCATCCTGGCAGAGGGTGAACTTGTCATTAATGCTGAAGACGGGCACAGCAGAGACGGCTGTGCTCGACTGAGAGGTCTGCTGGTATTGCTCTCGTCCCTGCAAAACTTTGACCTGCAGCTGCTCTAGCTCCGCCCTGAAACGCACCATATACTGACCTGAAGGATGGATTTGTTTTGAAGTCATTTCCTTAACTATTGTATATGCAGAAAGTCAAACACATGACAGGAACAAAGACATACTGTATAATGGAAGGAGGCAGTATTAAGATGATACCTGAGTGCTTCTACTTTGGACTGGATCTCTTTACTCATCCTGACCTCGTCTCCCGGGCCGGCCTCAGCCTTCTGGGGCTCAGTGGTCAAACCAGTCACCCATCCTGGAAGAGGTAATGGAAGTTATTCAGAATATGCTGTGCATTTCAAGGTCCCTTACTACTGGGTTATAAGTAACTCATACTACATGCCAGACAGCCAGTAATTGTTTCTCAATCAAGAATGAAGTCATGCAGACAGTTTGACAGGCAGGACAACAGACACATTTTCTTCTTTGAGAGAAAATTGGGAACACTATTGTTTTGAATTTTCGTTTAATCTAACCTGTGTAAGTGGCAGTTAAGACCTCTTCATAAGACTCCTTCCCCACGCAACCACCCTGGATGGAAGTCACACTCTCTGACAGTATCTGAAGGGAAGAAACCCTGGTCGTCAATGAGTGAGCGCTATGATCAGTGCATTTCATGCAATACTGAAAAAAATAATGGACTTGAACATTTAATAAAAGGCAAGGAGATGGCTATTAAATCATTTAATATGATTACTATTTAATCGATTATGTCTTTGCAAATTAAAGGATGCTGCTAATGTTCTGTAGCTGGGTCTAAGGAAAGTACTAGTCAGACATACAGGCTTGGCTTTTCTACAGTTAAGCTAAAGCAGCAGCAGGTATGCTACTATATGCTGTCTACTGCTGCATGATGCTGACAAAAAAATCTAAATCTGTCATAAAAGTTATGATCTTAATGGATTAAGAGTTTCTTGTAATTCTTTACCCAAACATTGAAACTACATATTTTGATTAAATGTGTCAGGTATAAACCTACATGGTCAAAACGTAATGTGGGCTCACTGGCTCCGTCGAAACCATAAACCTCTACTGTCCCATCATCCCTTCCCACCAGAATGTCATTCACTCCATCTCCAATAATGTCGTAAGTGTCAATGCAGAGAATTCCTGATGGGAGACAGAAAAGAATAACAGTGCTGTGAAAGGTTGAATCAAAACAACAAAGAGAAGGAATACTGGTATACACTGTATGGAAATTCTTGGACACATCATGGTTTACCCATATGCTGCAATTTAATTACACATATGCTGTGGAAATGGGTTGTTATTAAAATCACATAGATTTATATTTCATTGGCTAAAAGACGCAACACTCTGGTATGGTCCTGTAAACAACATACCTCCTTTCTTTTTGTCATTGTCGATCTCCCATTTGGTCGCAGCTGAGCCCTCACCGATCTGGACCAATCCTATTTTACCATCTGTAGTTCCATAGAGGATTTCCTCTCCTGTAGAGACATCACTCACATTATGTTGGATCTGCTCCATATAAATTAATCTCATGTTTTAGCACATAGACAAGTTAACTTGCCTCCATCTTTGTTGTACAATTCCAAGACAGATGGAGGGCCAGGTACTTCAATCTCATAGGAAAGCTCGGATCCCTACAGAAGAAAAAACTATGTCTCATCTGACTGAACTCAGGACAAATACATATACATTAAATATGAACATATACATACAAATACAAGCTTGGTTTACCTGTAAGACTCTGAGAACCCGATCTTGGCATGCCAGGACTGGGACAAGGTGTGTCAGGTTCTCTGACGACAAACATGTGATATCATTGATTTTATCTCCAGAGAGATAGTAGTCCTGATCCTTGCAGTCACAGTAGTGGTTGTAGATGTAACTTGCACACACAAAAAGGTCAGCGCCTGAGACGTGCCTGGAAAAGAGAGAGCCAACATCAATCAGTGAAGTAAAAATCATACAGCTCTGAACAAGTTAAGCAGTGTAAGTATGTAGAAATGGCAGAAGTGGCTCCTACATTGCATTAATGGTCTCAGTGAGGTTGGCTTCAAAAGTGAGGAACTGTTTGCCTTTCTTGGTGAATCCTCGGACTTGAGAGCCAGAACAAACAAAGATCTTCTCCTGTGGAGTTCCCACAGCTCCTCCAAGGTCCATCCTGGATATTTTCTGTCCTGGAAGCGTCTTAAACACAGGCTAAAACAGAAAGTCAAATTCTTGCAGTTAAAAACAGAAATTCAGCACTTTAAGATCCAACTAGCTGTACGATAATGAAATAAAAATCTTAACCAGGTTACACACCACTGCTTCTCCCTTCTTCATCCCAAAACATGTCAATATACCATCGTGATCACCAATAGCAACCTGAAACAAAGAAACACCAATCAAGCACCATGAGGCTGCAATAATAAAGAGCTGGATAAAAAAAGCACACACATCACTAACTATAATAAGTTCAGGTTAACAGTTAGGCACTGGTATTGCACTGAAAGTAATACTACCTTTTGGGTTGCCTTTTTTCCCAATGCTGGAAGAAGCCTCATAGTTTTCTGAGAGGTCACACCAACCTGTGTGGAAAAGGATCACGTATTAAAACAGGGGGAAAGAAAAAAGTATCAGGAAAATGCCCTGAATAGACTTTAATTGTGGTCAAAGTTACTTTTATTGTCTTGGACTAAGGATAAAAGATAAAAACGATTAAACCAATTCAGTGATGTAAGATAAAAATAATTATAAATAGGGGATTAAAACTAAATAACAAGACAAATAAAATAAAGCAAAAACTACTACTGATCAAGATCAACAGAATACGAGTATGACAGTAACTTCAAATGATCGAAATCCATTTCCTCTGAGAGACCGACATAATCCTGATCAAATAGACTTTAGTTCTTGTTACCTGAATATAATCAACTCGATTTAGGTGGAGCTCCATCTTCTTTCTCTACTGGGAGTCTTATCTTTGAGAGAGGAAAAAGTCTGATGCAAATCTTCCAAGTAAGTTAATCCGACTATGAATCTTCAGGGATCATTAGTTGCAGTCCACCTTAGCCGTATGGCCTTCACAACTTATCGCTAAAATTGTCCATCCGAATTACAAGACGAAGTGATGGTGAAGCGAGACGAGGATTATCAAGAGCAAGGAGATTAGCTCAACGTGCTAACGTTAGCTAGCAAGCTAATTAGCTAACGCGATTTATCCGCACGCCAACTGTCTACTTTGAAGAGGAGAAAATCATAATTAAAAAAATGTACTAAGAGAAATAAATAACACATGAGCCAAACCAATTCCACCGTATATTGTAAAGTAGGATTGAAACCTCACTAAACGCGAATATTACGTTTTAACTGTCAATGCAGCGCTGGCTTGAGTACCAGATAAACGCAGTTGCCCGTTGCCAACGGCAACGCTGTAGTCACAACAAGCTGTGACACCATTGGATGTGAGTCAAAGGTTGAAACTGTGGTCTGATTGGTTGACTCGTTCCTGATAAATACGCCTGGACTTTGTTTTCTAATAATGCTCAATATCGCTTCACATAATATTCCTCAATGCATGCATGTTGTAATATCTGCCTCGAGGTACACTTCAACAAAATTTAACAAAGAAAAAAAACCTTTGTAATTCTATTCGTTGATGTAGCCCGTTAGATGGCGCTGAAAGCTCTAAGAAGATAGTAAATGTAAATTGACCATGAAAAGATTGTTTTGGACTGAGGTGGAAGAAGTACTTAGTATAAGTATAGTAAGGACACAGTGTAGAAATTTGCTGTTATAAGTAAAAGTACCGCATTCAAAATTTTACAAGTACAAGTATTAGCATCCAAATAATGTAAAATCAACTATTTCATAATAATATATATCATTGGATTATGGTTATTGATGTATTAATATGTGCACTACTTTAATTTTGCAGTTGGGTACCTTGTGAATTCCTCCCTTGAGATAAATAAAATCTTATTTTATCTTAACCTACAATAACACATCATCATTTATGTTGATATTTTGTATTATTAATCTGAATCTTCAAAGCGTACTAACTTAAGTTATCAGAGTAAAAAGTACAATATATGCCTCTGAAATGTAGCAGAGTAAAAGTTTTTTTTTTTTTTTTTAAAAAAAAGCATAAAATGGAAGTATTTAAGTAAATTATAAGTACCTCCAAACTGAAGTACATTACTTATGTACTTGGTTACTTTCCAACACCGGTTTTTGAAAACTACCGTTTTCAAGTTTAAGAATGAAAATATTGCATTGAAAAGAGGTAATGGTTGTAGACAGAGCAATAGTTGTACTGTATATCTACGAGTAGCAAGATACTCTGGTTCATCTCTTTAAAATTAGTTCATAATTAGGCCATGATCAACTATAGTAATCATAATAATAAGCACAAACCAACATTACTATACTTTAATATTTTATTGGTTTAATTAAGAGATCATTTTATTCTTGTCATAAAAATGTGGTTTGTTTGTAGGCAAATAAACACATTTAACATGGCAGAAAAACAAAAATCATAGCATGCAAAGAGCGAGAAATCTACACAAGCAACAAATAAATGAAGTAAATTCAAAACAGTTTTCAAACTGAGAAACAAGGTCAGAATGCATTCATAAGGATGACATGCATTGTGTAATTCATTCAAACTGAAAAATGGCTAGTGCCTTAAAATATTCTATAAAATACAGCAGATATCTTGTTTCTCAATTCAACACCCATTTTGACACCATAGCTACGTAGATTCTGCATGTTGTTAAATGATGGCAATGATAGAATACATTTAAAGTCAGGCATTCAGACAAATTAGAACATCAGATGCTTTGTACATAAAAAAGAAATTAGACTAGGTAGAAACTGCAAACAAACCGCATTCTCCATCCATTCAAGTACAACATGATTATTTTTTAAAAAAGAACAATTTTAATAATGTATAAGAACATTTTCATTTAAGTTACTAATCTCAGAATGTTAATGTTTCATCACAGAATAAGCAATTTTCATGAATAAATAAGGACATAAAAGGAAAGTACAACAGCCGATAACAGCCGAACACAGATGATGTTTACTGTGCTCCTTTCAGTGAACGTAACAAAGTGAGGGGTGTCCACTGCTTGAATGAGGTCACATTAGGAAGATGGGAAAAGAAATATCACCATGAGACTTCAGTGCATTACTGGCTGCTCTTCAACTGTACTCAAATATACAGAGAAGTTGGAGCACAGGCTGTAAAGCTGACATTCAGAAAACAGTTCCTTCTGTTGATGGCATTGTCTGTCCCCATCAAAGTTTAAGTCACATCCTAAATGGTGGAAAAAACAAAAAGAAAACAAAACTTTTACATAGTGTAATCAGACGCCCGTGGGGGCGAGGCGGCTGATGAAGGCGATACTGCTGAGGCACATTCTCCTGAAGAAGGCGGGACAGGCAGGTTTCATGATGAAGTGCTCCAGAAGAATTCGCAGCTCTGTGAACAAGGTGCTGAGGTGGAAAGAAGAGTGTGTTTAATAATCAGTTTGCCATTAAGACAACTAGTACATTTCATCTCTAATGAAATTACAAAGCAACATTTCAATGAAAGACATTTTTGTTTGGTTTTTCAAGAACAATTTCAATTAGATTTGTTTTAAAATAATATATCATCATCATCAATTATATATCAATAAAGATGAACAGTGAACTCTCATGTACTGGTGACACAGTGTCTGACTTACTTCAAACTTATGTCTGGCATAATGAAATTTCCTGGTAACTTTTTGGCCAATACTCGCTAATACTGCTATACTGTGTCTGAGATGAGCTGATGTTGGTTGATCATATCAGTTCAGTGTGCAAGGAAAAGATTTCCATGGCTTTAAACAGTACTTTCCTTTTGGTGTTTTAATTTATTTTTGATTTGCTATAAAACAGTTTAAAACTTTTTTGTGTCAAGTGATGAATGTTTCACGTTAGGAGCAGTGGAAAAAAAGTACTGAATCATTAAAAAAGTTTTATGTTCTTCAAACTGCTTGGGCTCATTATGAAATAATGACTGTCTTGTTGTACGTATAGAATCATTTACATTATGAAATATTGTGATAACATCTTACCGGCAGTATGGGTTTCTTCTGGATGTGTAGCGGAGAGTGAGGAATCGGTAGTAAATGAAAGGCAGCAGCAAACTTCCCTGGCCACTGTTAACAAGATTTGAGAGACATGAATAAAACAAAACTGACAGTACACAATTGTGGATTGTTCAATATTTCAATAATACAAAATAACAAAAATATTAAACTTTATTTGTTAGGCATTTTTCATTACATTATTTCATTACTCTAAACTGCAATAACAGTTCCCTTATGTTGACAGAAAGACAAATTTGCAGGAATTATGTGATGCAGTCATTTCAACCTGAGGCAGAGTCTCTAAGGAAAGTCTCCAACATCTTATGGATGTACGGTTTTCATTTTAAAGTGCTCAGTGAGTGTATGAGTACATAAAGGATCTGCAATGTCTCCTGACAATAAACAACTTTTCACTTCAGTTGTGAGCAAATACCTGAAGAGCATGAAAACAGTGGCTGGCATCAAGAATATCTCATTGCAGGCGATGAACTTCAGGATGTTCTGCTGATTGGATGTTAGTTTGTCCAGGAGGTTTCTGATGAACATCAGGCTGCTGGGGCCCACGGACTGCAAAGAGAGATGATAGAAAGTCAAAAGCTGACAACAAAACTGTTGTGAGGTGAGTTTTCAGTGAGGCGCAGAGTTTACATGAAATAATGATACAAAGTAAATGTAAAATCACATTATCAATCATCAGCTTTTATTAGATTTTTTTGGTTGGGTTTTGGTCCCTGAGTAATGGCTGGTTGATGGAGTAGATAATTAAAACACCATTTGGCTGGTGGTAATGTCCCACCTTGGTGTTAAATAATATTCAGCAAATGGCTTTCTGTCAGACGTTTTAATAAATAACATTAAAAGTCACAGCAGGTGACTGTTGCCTCATACTCACGTCAAGGACTTTCTTTGTGTAGGTCGTTGCATGAAGCAAGGAGAAGAGGAAGACTGGGAAGATGCTCACTGGATACAAGTGTTAAAGATCAACATAAAACGACAGAACAAACCTCCCACCATAGTTTGATTTGATTACTAGAGCATGATAATATGTTTTAATGGTTAGAATCATGTGATTTGATGATACTGAAGCATTTACTATATGGTGAATCCTCCTGAAAGAGGAACCACTCAATGTGTAGTGTGCAACCATGTTATCAAAATCAGTGCGTTCACGTGCCCTTCACTAAACAGGTTACTCAGAGAAATCAGGTTATGTGGCTAATCGGAAAAAACACATTTACACACAGCCAATCAGTAACGAGATTATTCTTCCTCCAACTTACTTGGGAAGCATGGCTCACTAATTTTGACTGAACAGTGATAGAAGACGCTGCTTCCTGACCTTTTTTTTATTTTTTGGCTGACTTCAGACAGACTTATTTTAAATATGAGGACACATCACCCAGTGTAATGATCTCTCCTTTCATCCAGACACTCCACCAACTACTTTGCCTGTCAGCTGAGTCTTTGTCATGTACACTTCGCCAGTAACCCATATACATGGCATAGAAATTGTGTTCTCCAGAATAAATCTACCTGGGAACGTCAGGTTTCTCTTATCTCCTACTCCCCTAAACCAGGTTTCACGTTTATCTGACAGTTAAAAATCAGCTCAAGGAGAGGACGGAAGAGAAACCTTACATAGAAAAAATTTCACAACAAACAAAATATAAATTTAAGTAAAAATTAGAATTAGACTAGAAAGTACAAATGCTCGAATCTTTAGAGTAAATCACTAACAATTAAAGAAGACAAGAAACTTTCATTAACTACAACAATAACAACAACTCAATGGAAACCTCAAAATAAACTGTCCTGTATTCAGTATCTATGTATGACATCACGATTTTAACCAGGTATAGAGAGATACTGTAAACAGCATTGTATTTCAAGGTGAAAGGATACTTGTGATGGGGTAGGAGTTGACCAGGATGAGTGAGTAGAGCAGGTAATGGCAGCTGTCCTCTTGAAGAGCCTGGGCCAGGAAAGCTCTGCTCAGCTGGAAGCGCGGAAGCCTTTGATGCAAGCGAAGAGCACTGGTGAGGGCGTTCGCTAACAAGGCTCTCTGATAGAAGTTTGCTGCTGCATAAGGTCTGAAAAACATGAGCAATGACAAATATTAGGATATCTACACAGGCTGAAAGAAAGGAGAATCAGTTGAAAGAAGTGCATTTCTGTCAATTGTCTGTCTTTTTATGATGTCAGTACATTAACAAAGAGCCACTGAGTGCACTCACCCCAAAATTGGTAGAATAAACATTACGGAGCAGTAGACGGTGAAGAGCCGTGACAGCCACATTGCAGTTTCCAGCTTGTTGCTCATTAAAAATTGCTGCGGAAGAAAGAAAAAAAAAAGCTTATGTGATCCAGGCATATAAAAGTAGAAAGTGCTGCTCCAGGTATCATATCACTTATGATATAATATGTGTAACAGCTTGAGATCCAGCCAAAGAGCTGGGTGATTTCTATTAGCTGTTTTAGCATTTGGGCATTTGAACTGACAGGGTGAGCCTTCTGTTTTCTCATGTATACTGAAAATTGATTCAATGATGGTTCTCTCAAGGGTTAGCATAAACCAGCTAAATTAAAAAACAACTTAATTCAATCTAGCAGTTACTTTTACTACCCGTTCATCAGAAGTCAGGTCATAAGATTCAGCTGTAACTCATCAAAGAACCTTCTGCTTCAGCTGACATGGCCGAAATACAGCTGTTCTACATAAACTGACAAGTTTGAATACACAGTTTGAGGAAGGAAGAAAGGTTGCAAATGTACCATTATCTCAAATTCAAGGAATCAAATAAATACATCAGCTGCATTAACAGCTGATCTGCTGCTGTGTAAGTGCTGACTTGCAAAAACAAAACAGTTTTTCTTTCAGATAAAATAAACCTGTATGTTTGCATGTGGTGGACACAATAACAAGAATCACCTGCACATTATAAAGCAATCCAGTACTGCACCGCTAACATTTACCCCACCGTTAAAAAACAAAATTTGTGATGAAACATTGTTAATTGAACTCTGAATACCAAGATTGGGTAACTGTGTCATATGTACTGTGAGCGAACATAAGAGTTAGCGCTGCAGGCACAGCAGGAGTAAATGTTTTCCAAGAGTGTTTGCAATTAGAGACTCCAATGACAATGCAAGAGGCAGAATAAAAGCAGCATAGACAAAATCAATGAAGCTGAGGCCAAAATACCCTGACTTTTATTCCTCGCTATGGGTAAAGCTCCAAAAACACTGGATCTAACAGTTTCCATTATGCAACTTAATAGTGTGTTTTGTTAGGCTTTCCCTGTTATGTAAATACCCTCAGTCCCTGGTTTGTAATGCTGGCTTTCTGTTAAAAAGTCTCAAGCCACTGCTTAATCGGGCTTCAGAAATCACCCTCCAAAGAAGTCATTATACAAATGTTTTTCTAGGATGAGTAGTACTCCTTGTGATGAGTATCTTTAAAGTAGAATCACTAGATTGCACCTTAAAAAGGTGAGAAATAGCTGCAAATAATTGTCAAGCAGGCAACTTACCATGGGCCCTGGCTGGGGAGGAGGGCTTTGTTGGTTTGTGTCAGCCATCTTTGGGAGTGTAGATCTTTCTGTAGAAAAGAACAGTCACATTATGAAGCAATAATGACTAGTCATATCAACAGCAGTCAGGGCTAAATACTTGTTAGCTTATATTATCACAAACTTTCCACTAGCCTCTGTTCTTAGTTGACTGAGCTGACTTTGAATTTTTTTTTTTTTAAATCAATTTATGATTATGATCACTAGTTTGCTTAAAGATTTTTTTTTCTTTTTGTCTTTGTCTTGTCATTACAACAGTATAACAACAGGAAATAGGCGTTACAAAATCCTGATAAAACAACTTACAACAACTACATAAATAACTAAAAATGAAAAGAGAGAAGAAAAAAAAGGCCAGAAATGTGATTTGATGCAGTCAAGAATGAAACTAATTTATAGTTACTTATCACTACATCACAATCTGAATACATATTAAGAAAAATATTCATAGCTTTTCTGTTTGCTGAGTTTTTAACAGAGGTGAGGTACACATCCATATCTGTTGAGCTTTCTATTGAAGTAACTTCTGCTATGAATTAAGACTTAGAGAATAATGTAAAGATTTACAATGAAGTGAATTTTGAATTTCTTAATGCAGTAGTAGTATAACAAAATTCCAAAATCCTCAATGTATCTATTGATACTACTGAGTAGTACTGAGTAGCTTTTAAGAGTAAATTTCTGAATCTTGATGAAACTGCACAGGAAGAGCAACACAGTCACTGACCTAATGGTATATTAACTACGGCCGTGATTTCAGGTTTTCTTTCTTTTTAAGATCACATAAACTTCAATTTAGTTCCTGTTTCTTGCTCATACTGGTCAAAGTATGAATGAAAGTCTGATGGAGAACCAGTAGGAGCAAGATAGCCTACAATAGCTTGCAGTAGTGAGAGTTACTGATGGTGCTGACCGGATTGTACAGCCTCCTGCAACTAATTCCACTGTTACAATAACCCCACTTTCAGTTTTTAAGGATGTAACATTTCCCTACAGACAGCCAACACTTAAAGCTAACATTACTCTTGCAGGGAGAATATATTTAATACTTCTGCCACTCACATGTATGACTTTTTAATGCCTTTAATGCCTTTTTCAGGGACAGTTAATTCACTGGTTTTAGACACTTGCAGTTTCCTTGCATTTGCTCGGTTTTAGGAGGAAGATGTAGGTACATTAGCTCACCTAGCCTTCGCTGTTTTGGGTAAATTAATGATTAACGTTACATTACTTTAAATTTCAATGGAAAAACCTAACGCCTTACTAGTGATCGAAGTGGATCAGTCGAGACTTAAGTATGTAAATAACCAGTGAGGTCCTCTCTGTTTTTTTTATATATCATATGGATGCTAACGTTAGCAGCTAACGTTAGTAGCAGGTGGGTCTAGAATATTCTGTTACCATCGTTACTAGCATGTGAGCTAACGTTAGCTACCTAGTCTCTCGCCATGTCATTAATTTTATTTTACGTTAGCTGTTTCAGCTGTTTAAAGAGGCCCGTACGGACTTGATACTCCCGGTTGACAGTACGTAATATGAACATATCTACGAGTAATAAAACGGATAGCTTACCAAGCTTACAGTGGCGAAATGGTCCTTTGCGTGCTGGGCAACTGACAGGCTGTAGGTCAGCTGACCTTCTAAAGCGAGAAGATTTCCTCTCGCGAGATTTTAGATCTCACAGGCTCACGGGCAACACTTCCCTCTAGTGGACAAAAGAATGAAATGTAAGGCCTGCTAAATGTTTTCCAAAATAAAAAAATTGTGTGTGATTAAATGTTAATGATTAATGTTTTTTGTAAATTACCTAAAACTAAATGTATTGCATACACTGTACATAAAAAGCCACAGTATGTAGGCTACTGTATGAATAGTAACTTCTTACTTGTGCTCTATTTATTCCAGCACTTTTTGCATACCGTTGTACTATTAATAACACAGTTTACAGTGTGGCCTGTATATAGACACTGTATATCAGCATATCAGCCATATGTGTATCTAGCTGCTTCATTGTAAACATTTACAGCATGTTTGCTTATCAGTGTTTAGTTTTATAGACATTGTTTTAGCTGTATGTCTTTGTGACCAATTTATAGACCAAATTATTTCCAAATAAAACGATTACAAGTGGCTATCAGAACATCTGAGAATGTTCTGAAGCCTTCAAATGAAACACTTGAATGTCTCTTGTGACTCGTTCCCTTTGTAAGGAGGAGTGTTTAAGACCAGGATTTCCAAGCTTAGTTTGAACATGTACAACAGTTTGCTATTAGAATTTAACAGATAGTCAAGTTTAGTCTCACTTTAAGTTAATCTTATCTGCTGATATTAGGCTTTTGTTTAATGCATGTATTCATATGTTTCTCCTGAGAGTATTTTATCACTGGATATCTTTTTGTTTTGTCAACTTTCCGCCCATATAATCTTTTATTTCTTGGAACTACGGTGTAGCAGAAGAGGAAAAAGAGGAGGTTTGCATGTTGAAACTTCACCCATGAAACAAATGTTAACAATGATCATTTAACTACAACAATGATTAAAGTAGTGAACAGAGGGCAAAGGTTTGTTACATTCTGTTGCTTATTTGCAGAATATGAGACCGACAACAGTGTTTGTTATAAAATTGTTCATAATCAGAAGTCTCTATTAACCTCGCCCCGTTTTCAGACTGCACCACAGTCATTGGTAGTGTTGGGATTCACAGAGCTACACCGGTGACTGTGCTCAGTGTATTTTGAGCATTACATCTAGAGATGCACAGCTGCAGAGTGCGGCTGCGCCGTGGACAACGCCCACATCTGAGGAGCAGAAACCGATTCTCTGACTTCATTTTTAAAAGTTTTCTTGAAGTGTTTCACAGCTGAAGAATATCAGGATTCTGATATTTACAGCTTTTGATTTGAATTGCAGATTTGTCCAGTACTTGCATCTTTGCTCGTACTTTCATCCAGATGATCCTCTGCTTTATTAAATTTAAATGCTATTTGGGAAGCTACCACAAGAGGGCGCAGTCGACCAGACGATCATGTCGCTGCAGGTTGGCCTATAGCCTGTGTTGGATAATTATTTTACCTTTTAGTGCACCTTATTTGGTCCCAACATGTTTTAAAATCTTACATCTGACTGCTACTGTAGCGAATATATCCGCAGATTATTGGCACCAGTGTCGCAGGATGATGTGTTTGCTGCAGATGCCATTTGAAAATATAGGCAGTGTAAGCACTGTAGAATCTAATTATTTCTTTGCAAAACCTAATTAGGCATTAAAAAAGGTTAACGCCAGCGCCTGAAACGTTTTTGTTTAATAATCCCATTACTGACGGCTCATCATGTATAAAATGGTGCAGGAGGACACTAAGTTTCCACTTGTTAAAGGGAATCTCTGAGAAATAGTCGCAGATTTTTTGACACTATCTGCGATGGGAAATTAGGGCTTGTAATTAAACTGCGGAGACTCAGCACAGCACAGAGTAAGTAAGGCTGCAGCGCCCTGCCTCGCATGCATTTTCTATGTTTAATTGATGATTCTGCCTGATGCAAAAACAATGTCACTATTTTCTGTTGTTGTTCTGTTTTTCTTTACCGTGTCGTCTCATTTGTTGGGCTTGACAGAACTTTCCAAACCGTAGCGAACAGTCAGAATAGACCTTGATGATTTTTTAAGCGTCAGCTCCTCTCGGACCATTACCAGCCACCAGAGAGATCAAGGTGAGAATTTAAATGAGACAACATTTTCTGCTCGACTTTTAATTTGGCCGGGCTCCTGAGGAGGAACTGAGTGATGCTCTGATGCGTTTTCAGAGAGAGAAAAATCCCCTGCACCACTGAATTATAGATATAGAGGCTTTTGCAGGAATATGAGAGGGATGTTGAAAAAGAGCCACGGTGGTACTGAGGGGTACCAGAGCCACAGAGCGCTTCACTGAAGGGACATTACAGGAGCATCAGCTCGTACTCATCCTGAAATAACATTTCTCTTTTTAAATCCTGGGCCACTTGTAGCCGTTTGCAAATGAAACGATTTAACAAAAAGCATTTTTACCGTATAGCCTATACTTAGTATGAATATCTATTGATGCCAGAGTCGAGCGTTTTATTTAAAGAATAAAGCACTTGAGATAAATCCCTTCGTTTTTATTTTTGTTTTCATGACAAACGGAGAATTTATGAGATTTTCTCCTCCTCTGTGCATCACTAAAGTCCTACAACAAAAAACAGGTTACTACAGCTTAAAGGATGTGACATTGCTATCTACTAATTAAAAAACCCCAAAAAGCTCAATCGAAAAGAAAATGAACAGCATATGAACAGGTTATTTTATAATAATACTTTCAAAAAGAATGAAATGAAATCAAAGTTACATGATGCTGCATGAGCAATGTGGGCTTCTGCAGTTTATGTTGGACATTTCTGTAAACTCGATAATAATATAATCATTATTATTATTGTTTAAATTATTTTATTATTATTTACTACCATTATTATTATTATTATTATTATATTGAGGGTATCTGTTATCAGCGCTGCTATTATCACCAGTATACCTACAATAATAAGGCCTTATATTTTTCTTACATTCTGACATCGGTGTAAACAAAAAGGTTTTCGTCCTGAGCGCACTTTATCCCGCCTTTAATCTTTTTCCTTTAAAGCTTCTGCGTCAACAGTTTTGAAAAGAGAAAGAGGAGTGAGTGAGAGACCAAAGCGAGAGCCCTCGAAAAGAAATAAACCGCGGTGTATAGTGGAGTGAAAGCGCCTGTAATGGCTGTGTATCCAAGTGTCTGGCTCTATTCGGCCAAAACAAACAGGGTGTGGAAGGGGATGAAAATCGGGACAAGCGAGGAAGACGACGGGAAGAAAGAATCGGTTTGATAGTGTGGAAAAGAAGGACACGGTGGATTTCCATCAAACTGGTTAAAGAAACAATAAAGCGAGTTATCAACAGACCTTTTCTGCCTTTTATCTCTTTGTTGCCCGATTGTAAGAAGGCGTTTCACATGAGCCACAAACCCGCTCAGATTATTTCATGATGGGCTGCGATGTGAATGATTTATAGCGGATAAACGAACAAAGGTCTTTACACACTTTCACCACTTACCTATTTCATTTATTTCTCTGAGGGATTGAAATAGAAAAAAAAGGCAAAATAAACATTTTAGATCAATGCTGCTCGTTTCTGACAATGTGCGACTTAGAAAATATTTAAAACCTGGACTTAGTGTGAATGTTCTTCAGCTCCGCAGAAGCAACTTTTACATTCATGCTTTTACCTTTTTTATGATTTGCAAAACATTTCAAAGTCACTTAGATTCCCCTTAAAATAATATATAATATCTATTATTAAATAACATATAGGCCTGTATTATTTTCACAGAATGGAAGTCAAGGCTCTGATTAGCATTCTGCACCAACTGCAGCAGCTCATTAGTTAAACTGGTTGTTTACTTCAGTGACATGCTGAAAGCAACTGTCTCATGTCCTTTGTTTGTTTTTTCTATTGTTTTTTTGGCAGATTACAACAGATTTATCTATTTATTTATTTATTTATTATTATTATTATTATAGGTTGATATCTGTCATCAATTTTTGCAGGAAAGAGAAGGAAAAATAGGATGTTGCTGGTAAAAATAAATGCATTTGTGAAACATGGTTTTTTATCAGATTCCTTATTACTGCACTGAGGCACATGAGAGCGTTGATGTGTTGGATGTAATGTAATGTAAGTGCTGTATGGATGGGGTTTTTTGTGCTGCAGTAACTTTGAAGCCAGGATACATTTTCTAAATAAAGCTTATCTTAATCTTGACCATGCAACATTTTCCAAAAATGTTTTCGGAGACTCACTTGCTCCTCTTGTACGATTATAATCCCTGTAACATGTAAACATGTAAAACGCCCTATAACGATATTCAACATGCAGACTCTGAGTATTTCACCATCTTGAGGGAGATTGACACAAAGGATTTTACTTTGATTTGAGGAAAACGTATATTTGGGGCAGATTGTTAATGTTTTCTTGCAGAGGTGGTTGACAGTCTGACTCTCTAACGTGGTTGTTATATGGCTGCAGAGCCCAGATTCAGGCAGGCTGTACTCTTGGCCTCTCAGCTCTCCTCATGAGCCTTGTCCTTGCAGGCAAGTCATCCATTTTACAGCAAAGGCTCCGATTTATAAAGTCTCTGCTGCTACATTTGCTCCACTTCTTCATCACTGAGTGCTACTGTTTATATATTTATAGACTCAGAAACAACTTTATATATAAACCCTCTTCTTTGTTTTGATTGACGTCATTATCACTAAAGTGATTTCAGGAAAGAGGAAATGAGTTTCTTGCATGCGCTGGAATGTAAAGAGTTAAATCATAATACAATTATCATCTCTTAACAGCAGAAGAGTGTATTGTGTTATATCGTTATTTTTATGCATTTTCAGAGAAGAGCAGCGAGATTTATTTTGAAAATCTTTAATGCTCTCAGTTCAAAAGCAGCATAATATTCTGAAACATCTAATCACTGTAATGTTCCTCCTTGGTCTCAGTGTATGTCTGTATCTAACACGTGTTTATTTAATGTTTGGTGATAAAAACAATCACTACATTTTGTGTTCAGTCACTGCTATAGAGGCTGGAGG